AGGAACTGTACAGTCACAGACCCCAGCCTGCGTCCTAGTGTGGCTTTTGTCATTAGCCTTGTGAGCTTAGGTGAGGTTCCTCTCTGCATGAGCCTGTTTCCTCATCTGTACAATGGGCACAATGGTTGTACTTTCCCTACCAGGTGGGAATGAAGATGAAATGGCATCTTTTTTTTGAAATGGCATCTTATCTGTAAAGCTCCAAGAGCCACTTCTGACACTGGCTGTGTTACTGTGATTGTTATTGTTGTGAGATTAGCCTCAGCCTGTGAAAAACAGCCTTGTCCTCCCTAGAGTCTCCCTGGGCCACAGGCACACACAGTACTCGGTCCCCCCTCTTGGGCCTGACTTGGTTAACAGCAGTCACTGTGGCCTCCCACCATGTACTCATGCCCTTGGCCTTCAATGTTCCACCGCCCTCCTCCCACTTTCTCTGATACAGCCGGGCAGAGATGTCATTGAGAGCCCTCACTCCCAGGATGAGGCAAGATCAGCTCAGGGATCACTCACTGTTCTCTCTGAAGCAGGAGTGACTGGTTTGACCAAAAAGGAGTCTGTACCTGGAACTACTCAGCACCCAGGAGGAGACCCAGAGGGACCTGCAGAGAAGCCTGTGTCCTGCAGCCTTGGGAGGCTACTCACTGGTCAGTATGTGCATGTGGATATATGTGTGTGTGTTTGTGTGTGTGTGTGTGTGTGTGTATTTTTTGCAGTGACTGCTCATGGACCGCCCCCTAGGTGCACATCGAGCAGGTGGGGCGGTGCGAAGAATGCAGGCTTTGCAGTTTGCAAGGCCAGGTTCACACGCCACTCTGCGGTTCAGAGTAAATATCACAGTCCTGGGCTTGGGGTCCCCACTGGGAGCTGGTGGGGGGAGGTCCTGTCTTCTATGGCTTCTTGCTGATTGAATCTGTGCATGGGTAAGGAATATCTGGTATAAGGTGAAGGTGTTGGCGTGTGGCAGGTGCTTTGATGGTGGCTTCTTTCATCTGTGTGCATGTTGGTTTATCCATGGATGTGTTCATGGGTACTTGTTGGACTATCCAGAGAGTCTGAAAAATATCTCTTACTAAGTGACCCTTGGGCAATGGCCACCTAGTTGCATTTCTATTTTAAAGGGATTGTAAAAAAGCATCACTGGGGAGTATTTTCAGCTTGGAACCAGTGGGCTAGAACAGAAGGTTTGGACAAATGGATGCTGGTACCCTTTACCTGCTGGGATGGGAAGGCAACTGTCTCCCCTCAAGATTAAAACAGGGAGGCTGGGCGTAGTGGCACGTGCCTTTAATTCCAGCAACCAGGAGGCAGAGGCAGGAGCTCTCTGTGAGTTCAAGGCTATCCTAGTCTACATAAAAAGACCTTATCTCGAAAAGAAAAGAAAAGAAAAGAAAAGAAAAGAAAAAAGAAAGCAGAAGAAAGCCAGACAAAACCCAGAAAGTGGAACAGGGAGACTTCCATTCCAAATTCTCGTCTTGAAGGCCCATGCTTTTCTTGTTTTTGTTTTTGTTTTTAATCACAGACTAATTGCAAACTCCCTATGTAGCCAAGGATGATCCTGAAATCCTCATCCTCTGCCTCCATCTCCCCAGTGGCTGGCATTGCAGGCATGTACCACTATGCTCAGATCATTGAACACTTAATAGCACTTTCTGAACTGGGGATGTAGCTCAGTTGGTAGAGTGTTTGCCTAGCGTGTATGAAGCCATAGGATCCACCCCAGCACCACATAAACTAAGTGTGGTGGCACACACCTGTAATCCTACCACTGGGGAGGTGAAGACAGGAGGATCAGCCCATGGTCATTCTCAGGTACGTGGTAAGTTTGAGCCTTGCCTATCTTAAAACAAAAAGCTCTTTCCACTCATTGCCCCTAACCACCAGTTCCCCGGTTCCCTAACCCCAAGGCCCCTCGTTTTACAGATAAGCGAACGCTGGGAGGAATTCTGTTTCTTTCTGCCGTTCTTCCATTAACCAAGGGGAGATAGTGCTTTATCTGGGGGAGGTGTAGGACAGACATAAAAAAGAACCAGACACAGCCTGTACCTTCTGGGACTGGCAGGGAGCAGGCAAAGCTAAGCCACCAGGACACTTACTGTGCTTTCTTGCAGATGGTGGCTGTGGGAAGGTAGAGAGTGGAATTGCTCATTCTGTCTGAGTGGGAGTCTTCTGGAGAAGGTGGCTGGCTGAGTCTTGAGTGTTCACCCTATTGGGGAGCAGTAGACTACCCCAATCCATTTAAAGGAATCAGGACACTGGAAGCCCAGGCTAGAAGACTGATTGGCAGGTGTGGGGAGGTCAGACAGAAGAGCCCTGCAGGCTTCCTGATAAGAGTCTGAGGCATGGGAGGGAAAATACAAGATCCAGGAAGGGGCAGGCAGGACCCTGAACTGGAAGTGTGACAGAGAAGGTGAAGGCAGAGCCTGTCCTATAGATGAACAGGGCCAGGCCATTGAGGGCCTAGAGGAGGCCAAGCTGGCAGGCCCTCCAGCGTGAGTGCAGATGGCCTGCCTCCAGTGGATGCCTTGGGCAGTGCTGGACTCTGTGCAGGAGAGGATTCTTGGGGAGACCAACTGTGGAGAGTGAGGGGCTGAAGCCTGGGGCAGCCAGCACAGAGGCATGTGGGAAGACGGTGGGGTCCCTTGTCTGCTAATCCAACAGAGCCGATGTAACTGAGAGGCTGGCGATGGCGGACAGCCAGAGAAGGGCTGACTGTCTGATACAGAAGCAGGCTCCAAGGAAGGTGATTACTTTGTGGACTCTGCAGTGATGGGTTCAGTCCCACAGTCTCTTCTCTACAATGTGAGCTTCTCAGACAAAGAGCTTCCTCTTGCACTTTGATAATGTGCTCTGCTAACCCAGGGATTGTGACTCAGTAGGAGCTCCATCAGTACTTATTTTACAAATATGTGGAAGGACAGTATATACAATGATTATACATAAGCCGGGCATGGTGGCACATGCCTTTAGTCCCAGCACTTGGGAGGCAGAGGCAGGTGGATCTCTGTGAGTTCAAGGCCAGCCTGGTCTACATAGTGAGTTCCAGGCCAGCTGGAGCTACAGGAAGACCCTGTCTCAAAAAGACAAAAAAATAAACAAATAAATAAACCCCAAAGAGCTGAAGAAAATATAACTTTAAGTATTTGTTAAATCCGAATGGTAGGCACGTGAGTTCCTGTTATATTAATCTTCATAATTTAAAAAATTTGCTTTTTAATGGGGCTAGAGAAATGGCTTAGCAGTTAAGAGTATACTCTGCTCTTGCAGAGGACCAAGTTTGGTTCCCAGCACCCATGTTGGGTGGCTCACAATCAGCTCCAGGGGATCTGATGCTTCTGCCCTTTACCACTGCCCTCCCTCACATGCAGACACACATGTACACACATAAACCAAAGGATTACAGACATGCAGTACCACTCCCATTTTAGGCAATGCTAGGTTCAAACCCAGAACTTCACGTAACCTAGGCAAGCACTTTACCAACTTAGCTACAGTCCCATCCCTGGTTTTTTTGTTGTTTATTTTTGCTGTTGTTTTCTGAGACAGGATCACCCTCTGTTGCCCAGGCTATCCTGGAACTCAAGGCAGTCCTGTCTCAGCTTCCCAAGTGCTAGGATTATAGGTGTTCAGCACCATGGCCGAAATTATGAATTTTTTAATGTATAGAATATTTCCTCTCCTGAATACAGAAAAGCTGTGTCAAGTCCTTATGAATTCTTAGAATTTCAAATAGGCCTAGATTTTTCTCAAAAAAAATGTCACTCCCGATACTGAAGCATCTAGATAATGGTGAACTATGGGACCCATGAATGCTAGACACATTACCACTGAGCTGTATCTCTAGCCCCTGAAACAGTGGTAGCATCAGCCTGCTCCATATGTCACTCTCAGATCTCAGTGCTTCCTCCTAGTAGTGAGACGGCATATTAACCACTTGCCTCCCAACTCACCCCTCAGTTGCAACTTGGCAGAGTTGTGGGTTTGGGTTCTTAGGAGGAATTTAATGAATTTAAATTGCTTAGAAAAACTGAGTTCCTTGCTGAGCATGGCGATGCATGCCTATCATCCCAGCGCTATGGAGGTGGAGGAAGATCAGGAGTTCCAGGTCATCCCCAGCTATGTATGGAGTTGGGGGCCTGCCTGGGCTATATGAGACCCTGCCTCAAAAACAAAAAGAAAGTTCTTGGAGCTGAAGAGATGGCTCAGTAGTTAAGAACATTTGATGTTCTTCCAGAGGACCTGGCTCAATTCCCAGCACCCACATGGTGGCTAACAACCATCTGTAACTCCACTTGCAGGGGATCAGGCGCCCTCTTCTGGCCTCTTCAGGGAACTTCACACACATGGTGTACTTAAAATAAAAATAATAAAATATTGAAAAAAATAAAGAAAGTTCCTTATAATTTGGGGGTTTTATTTTTACACCTATATGCATATAGTTTCTAGGAACAAGCCTCATATTTACTTGCTGCTAAAAGAAATTGCATACTAGTTGGGTGGTGCATGCCTTTAATCCCAGGTCTCAGGAGGCAGAGGCAGGTGGATCTCTGTGAGTTCATGGCTAGCCTGGTCTACATGGAGAGTTCCAAGGGCTACAGGCAAAAAACCAAACCAGGCACCAGGTATGGTGGGCATGCCTTTAAGTTCCAGGCTAGCTGAGACTACAGAGAGAGACCCTATCTCAAAAAAGAGACAAAAAAGGAAAGAAAGGGAGGAAGAGAGAGAGAGAGAGAGAGAGAGAGAGAGAGAGAGAGAGGAAAGGAAGGGAGGGAGGGAGGGAAGGAAGCAGGGACAAAGAAAGAGAGAAAGACAGGAAGGAAGGAAGGAAGGAAGGAAGGAAGGAAGGAAGGAAAGAGAGAGAGAGAAAGAGAGAAAGAAAGCAAAGTGTATACTTGTGAGTTCTAGAATCATCCAGACAATGACCAAGAAAGGCACCATACAGACACGGTAAGGCTAACTCTGGTTTTAAGCAGCATTTCTTCTTTGTTCTCACCAGGATCGAGATGACCACAGCCACCACTTTGGGGGATGCCGTCTTCTCATTGAACATGACCAGGGGAGAAGACTTCCTATATCAGAGTAAGGTCAACTTGGTTTGGAGGCAGGGGAAGTTTGGCAGGGCTCATGTCATGATCAGCTTCTTGCTTCTACCATTTGCCAACCGCATGTCTCTGAGTGCATGACATCTCTGCCCTGGCCTCGGTTTTCTCATCTGTAAGATGGGAATATCAATATACATGCCATGTAAGGTTGCTGTAAGGACTGGAATGATTGACATGAAGAGCTTAGAGTGGCTCCAGGTGCGTACAAGGAAGAAACAATCATGTTACTACTGACTGCTGTTACTATTCTCTTCATTAGGGAATCTGGGGTCTAGGCAGTAATGGAAAGATATCTGAATAGGTCACTTTAAAAAGTAGCCATACTAGAGGATGGAGAGATGGCTCAGCAGTTAAGAGCACTGGCTGCTCTTGCAGAGAACCCAGGTTTGATTTCCAGCACCTACATGGTGGCTAACAACCATTGGTAACTCCAGTTCCAGGGGATCCAATGACCTGTTCTGACCTCCAAGGGCACTGCATGACACGGGTACACTTACATACATGCAGACAAAACACTCATACACATAAAATAAAAATAATTTTTTTAAAAGTAGCTATACTTGGGCTCAGTGGTTAAGAGCACTGTTTTTGCAGAAGACCTGGGTTCGAATCCCCGCACCCACACAATGGCTAACAATCGTCCATAACTTTAGTTCCAGGGGTGTCCTCCGAGGGCATTGCATGACACAGGTGCACTTACCTACATGCAGGCAATACACACATACACATAAAATAAAAATATTTTTTTTTAAAATATTTAAAGTATGCCAGGCGTGGTGGCGCACGCCTTTAATCCCAGCACTTGGGAGGCAGAAGTAAGCGGATCTTTGTGAGTTCAAGGCCAGCATGGTTTACATAGTGAGTTCCAGGACAGTCGGGGGTACAGGGAGACGCTGTCTCAAAAAGACAAAAAAAAAAAAAAAATTAAAGTAACTGTACTTGCATGCCATGTGACAGGGCCAAAAGATTCTGTCAGTTTATAACGGAGCAGATGAATGAAGGTAGGAGGAGGTAGTCCTGGGAAATATTTACCAAGAACCAGGGTTCCAAGAATAAGGAATCTGAACAAGACTCCAGAAAAATCAATGGATTGGGCTAGATGTGTAGCTCAGTTGATAGAGGGCTTGCTTGGCATGCACGAGGCCCCGGGTTTGATTCCCAGCACTGGATAAACTAACTGTGGTGGCAAATACATGGCATCCCAGCACTAGGAAAGTAGAGGCAGGAAGGTCAGGAGTTCAAGGTCATCCTCAGCTACAGAGTAAATTTGAAGCCAACCTAGACTACATGAGACCCTGCTTCAAAAGAAAAAAATTGATTGTATAAGAAGTATAGGGCCTGATCCTTTTTTTTTTTGGTTCATAAGCATGATGATTAGGTGTTCACGCGACTTTGTGACATGTGCTGCCCTCAGACCTTGTCACACACCGGCACATTACCCATCTGACGTTCACGCTTTTCAGTTTGCAGCTTGGCTCCCTATGCATAGCTCTGCCTGTGGTGCAGGTATCCCCACAGCAGGCACTGTTTCTACAATGGGTAGCAACTTTGGGCTGGATCGGAGGCAGGATGCATCCCTTCCTGTGAGATCCAGAGGGGATTTCAGGACAGGGTCACCAGTTGCACACACTGCATGTTGTCGGTCATCACCACCCCCCACACACACTTGTCCTGCACCTTGCTGCGGTGAGTGTCCGTATGGAGGCAGCCTGTTGTGTTTCCAGACCATCCTGAAGGGAGCTACAGAGGAGGGGAATGACTGACACCCTAATGGAAACGATTCTGGTGCTCCTTATGAGGCCAAGTCTCCATAGATAGCCCAGGCTGGCCTGGAATTCGCAGTCCCCCTACCTCAGATTCCTGAAGAGCCGAGGTTACAGACCTGTGCCATTTATTTTTTATTTTTAACAAACCCTTAATAATAAATGCATCACATACATTCACAAAGGTGCACATATCGTAAGTATAAATTTTCACAAAGTGCACATACTTGTGTAGCCAGCACCCATATCAAGAGACAAGAACAGTGTCTCCGAGGTCCCACTGCCTCTTCTGCTCCCAGAAGGAATGCACTGATATAGTGACTTCTGCACCACAGATTAGTTCTCTCTGGTTTTGGATTTTGTGTGACTGGAAGGATGGAGGTATTCTCTGTGTCTGTATTCTTCAGCTGAACCTTGTGTTCCCATGCACATACTCTAAAGCCCCGGTGTCATAATGGGCATAACCATGTACCCAGATATAGCTCATCCTACCTGCCATACCTGAGATTGTTATAAGTATTTCCATGTTAGTCTTAATCTCAAAGAGTCATCTTTGAAGGGCTGGGTGTAGGGCTGGAGAGATGGCTCATCAGTTAAGAACACTGGCTGCTCTTGCAGAAGACGTGGATTTGGTTCCCAGCACTTACATGTTGGCTTACAACCTTTGTAACTGCTGGATGTGGTGGCACATGCCTTTAGTCCCAGCACTTGAGAGGCAGAGGCAGGTGGATCTCTGTGAATTTGAGGCCAGTCTGTCTACATAGCAATTTCCAGGCCAGCTGGTACTACAGGAAGACCCTGTCTCAAAAAGACAAAAAAAAAAAAAAGCAGAAACAACAAAAAATAACCATCTGTAACTTTAGTTCCAGGGGACCTGATGCCCTCTTCTGACCTCCACGGGCACTGCATGCACAGGTGCACTTACATACATGCAGGCAAAACACACACACACACACACACACACACACACACACACACAAATTTAAAGACTGGGTGGTGACACATGCCTTTAATTCCAGCACTTGGGAGTCAGAGGCAGGTGGTTCTCTATAAGTTCAAGGATAGCCTAGTCTACATATTGAATTCCAGGCCAGGCAGGATTACATAGTGAGACCCTGTCTAAAAAAATTAAAAATTTAGGTAGGCATGGTGGTACACACTTTTAATCCCAGCACTTGAGAGGCAGAGGCAGATGGATCTTTGTGAGATCTAGGCCAGCTTGGGCTACATAGCAAGTTCCAGGCTAGCCAGAGTTACAGGGAGAGCCTGTATCAAAAGCAAAAAAAAAAAAAAGAAAAAAAATTTAAAGCGGGGAGGAGTTTTACTTGACTGTTCACAGAAGTTTGGAGCAGATCTTTAAAAAAGGCAGGCATGATGGCATATACCACTAATCCCAGCCCTTGGGAGGTGGATATAGGAAAATCAGGAATTCAAGGCCATCCTTGGCTACTTAGCAAGTCTGAGACCAGCCTGGGCTATAGCCTGTCTCAAAAAAGGTGTGTGGGAGGGGGGCACTGAGCAGTCGATCAATTGGTAGAATACTTAATTAGTATGCAGAGTCCTGGGTGCAGTCCCTAGAACTGCATAAACCAGGTGTGGTGGCACACACCTACCATCTCAACACTCAGAGGGTGGAAGCAGGATGATCAAGATCATCCTTGGCCACACAGTGAATACCACCAAATACATGAGAACTAGGCTAATGCAGAGTCTGGCTACGGATGCACTAAGTAAGGATTGTAGTCTCTCTGTGTAGCCCAGGTTGGCCTCGGATTCACAGAATTCCCCCTGCCTCTGTCTTCTGAGTGCTGGGATTGAAGGTGTGTGCCACCCACTCCTGGTGATAGTTTCTTATTGCTGAGACAGAACACCTGAAAAAAATCAACTTAGAGGAGGGAAAGTTTATTTGGGGTCAGGTTTCAGAGGTCTCTGTCCCTGGTCACTTGGCTCCACTGCTGTGGACCTGTGCCAAGGCAAAGCATCCTGGCAGAGAGCACCTGGTGGAGCAGAGCTGCTAGAGCTTCAAGAAGGCTAAGACAGATGGAATAGGAGTATGTCAAGACAACCCCTTCAGGGGTTGGAGGGATGGCTCAGCAGTTAAGAGCACTGGCTGCTCTTGCAGAGGACCCAGATTGCAGTTCCCAGCTCCCACATGGTGGTTAACAACCATCCATAACTCCAGTTCCAGGGGACCCGATGCCCTTTTCTGGCCTCCTTGGATAGTACAGGCCCACAGTGCACTCACACACATGCAGGCAAAAACAGTCACAAATAAATAAATAAATAAATAAATAAATAAATAAATAAATCTTTTAAAGAAAAATGACCCTTCAAAATTCCCTCCCCCACAGTGTCTGCCACCTCTCAATAATGCCAACAATCTATGAATTCGATCGCTAAATGTGCCAAATAGGTTGGGGCCCACATATTCCAATCATTGATCAATAGTCCAGTCCACCAGCTGGGGACCAAACCATTAATATGTGAGATTTGGGGGACACTTCAAGTTCAAGCCAGGACAAGTACCCACAGAGGCCCCTCCCAGTCTACACATCAGCCCCTCCCAAGCTCCATATCAGCCCCTCCCAATCTGCTTATCAGCTCCTCCCAATCTGCACATCAGCTTGTACCTTTGCCATTTCAGCTTTCTTTTGTTTTTAAATTTGATTTATTTTTAGTCTGTGTGTGTGTACTCATTTATGTTTGAATGTCAACATACATGTGCCATGACACATACATGGAAGTCAGAAGATGACCTTGGGTGTCAGTGCTGGCCCACCGTGTTTGAGACAGTCTCTTGCTGTTTTCCCACACTGCATACACCAGGCTAGCTGGTCACGAGCTTCTGGGGGGTGGGGTCCTCCTGGCTCTGCCTCCCCTCGCGCATAGGAGCACTGGGATTACCCTCCAGCTTTACTTGTTTGCTGGAGATTCAAACTCAGGTCTACGCTAGTGTGCCAGGCACTTTATCCACTTTCAGCTCCTTGTTCCCTGTAGGTTCTGGAGCCATCGTGGCTGCCATCGTGGTGGTTGTCATCATCATCGTCACAGTGGTTCTGATCCTGCTGAAGATGTACAACAGGTACAGAAAGCCTGGTATTGCCCTGAGCCCACTGCCTCCAGGTGCAGAGCATTAGCTCCTACCCAAGGTGGCTCAGCCTTCTGTCAGAGTTGGAATTCAACCTATGCCAATTGGTTTCAAAGAAACACTCCCACCATAACATCTAGTAATGATAATAATAACAATAGAAGTTGGGGACGTGGCTCAGTTAGTAGAGTGCTTGCCTAGCATGTATGAAACCCCAGGTCCAATCCCCAGCACTGCATCAATCAGGAATGGTGGCGCTCAGGAGGTAGAGATACAAAGATCAGAAGTACAAGGCCATCCTCAGCTACACAGGGAGTTTGAGGCCAGCCTGGGATACACAAGACCCTGTCTCAACAACGACTACAGGAATAATAATAGCATTAAGTGCTATTTTAAAAGTCTTTGGGGAGACTGGAGAGATGGTTCAGCTGTTAAGAGCATTGACTGTTCTTGCAGAAGACCCAGGTTCGAATCCCAGCACCTACATGGCAGCTAACAGTTGTCTGTAACTCCAGTTCCAGGGGATCCAATGCCCTCTTCTGACGTCTGTCGAGCACTGCACAACATGGGTGTACTTACACATAGACAAGCATAACACTCATATACATAGAAATAAATAAATAAAAAGTCTTTAGGTCATTACCACATAAGACTATTCCAAACAAGGCGGTGGCATTGAACCCAGTCTCTTTTTATTTATTTATTTTTCTGTCTTTTTGAGACAGGGTCTCCCTGTATCCCCAGATGGCTTGGAACTCACTATGTAGAGTGGCCTGGATCTCACAGAGCTCTGCCTGCTTCTGCCTCCCAAGTGCTGGGATTAAAGGTGTGTGCCACCATGCCCAGCTCATTCTAGCTATTATTGCTGGAGCTCTGGAGCCCCTTTCCTAGACTGACATGTAGGTAGTGAAGACCCCATTCACCTCAAACTGCTCATACAAATGCTTAGCCTGGGAATGAGAGACCTGGATTTAGTGTTTGGTCTGTCAGAACTTGGCAAATGATTTAATCTCTGTCTCACTTCTGTTGTTTTTGGAATGAAAGGATCTCCAAGTATGACAGTTGCATTATGGGTATAATGGAGAACATCCTTGAATTTAAGAGCTTGTGGGAGTAAAGTGGTATGACCTCCACAGTGTGGACCTTAATTTTTTTTTTTTTTTTTTTTTTTTTTTGAGAGCTACAAGCTCCAGGAGACCTGGGATTCATGGTGTAAACCAGGCTGGTCTCATCTCACAGAGATCCTCCTGCCTCCTGCCTTCCAAGTGCTGGGATTAAAGGCATGGTGCTTGGTACAAGGATCATAATTTTTAAAAGCAAGGGAGGTTGATGGCTCAGGGGTTAAGAGCACTGGCTCCTCTTGCAGAGTACCTGGTTCAATTCCCAGGATACACATGGTGGCTAACAACAGTCTGTAACTCCAGTTCCAGAGGATCCACACCCTCTTCTGACCTCTGTGGGCATTGCATGACACAGGTGCACTTATATACATTACAAGCAATACAGTCACACACATAAAAAATAATAAAATATTTTTTAAAAGGGGGGGACAGGCTGGGCTTGGTGGTGCATGCCTTTAGTCCCAGAAACTGGGAGGCAGATCTCTGTGAGTTCAAGGCAGCCTGGTCTACATAGTGAGTTCCAGGTCATCTGGGGCTACAGGGAGACCCTGTTTTAAAAAAAATAAACAAACATAAAAGGGGGGGTCAGTGAGATGGCTCAGTGGGTAAGGACACTTGCCACCAAGCTTGATGACCACTCTCTAGGCTCCACAGGGCAAAAGGAAAGAACCACTTCCCAGAAGTTGTTCTCTGATTTACACACACACATACACATGCGCACACGCAACACACACACAAATCAATTGCAATTAAAAATATTTCCTAGCACTCGGGAGGCACAGGAAGGCAGATCTCTGTGAGTTCAAGGCCAGCCTGGTTTACATATTGAGTTCCAAGTCAGCTGGGGCTACAA